AGCAAGAAACAAAGCTAGAATATTAACTGTGGGTTTGAGGTCACCAACTGCTTCAAGCTCCTGCCATCATGTTGGACTATACATTAAAACTGTGACTCCAAAGCAAACTTTTTTCCTTAAATTGATTTTGTCAAGTAATTTGTTACATCAACAAGGAAATAGAAGTAGTCTGATGGGGTTGTCTTCTGTACATATGTTTCTCTTATTGGTTGATGAATAAAACGCTGTTGGCCAATAGGGCAGCAAGATAGGCAGATCTAAGAGATGAGGAGAATTCTGGGAAACATAGTCAGTCAGATGACATGTGAGACCACAAAGGGGTAAGAGGTCCAGACCCTTCTCTGGTAAGATATGACCACGTGGAAATACATAGACTAATAGAAATGGGTTAATAATTAAGACACAGCTAGCCAATAAGAAGCCTAAGTCACCAGCCAACCATTTCATAATTAATATGTGTCTGTGTGTTCGTTTGGGGCTGATGAAGTTGTGGGACCAGGCTGGTGGGAAAGAGTGCTTGTTACAATAGTCCATCTAGCCTCACACACTGGTTTTAGTCATGACAGAATTGTGATTAATTATATTTTTGCATTTAGTAGCTATTGTATGCAGTATTGGTATTTTTATAAAAAATAAAATAGGGTTATGGTGGATCTGAATGAAAATAGCCCCTAAGGTTGTAGGGAGTGGCACTATTAGGATGTGTGGGCTTGTTGGAGTAGGTATTGCCTTGTTGGAGGAAGTGTGTCACTGTGGGTGGGCTTTGAGGTTTCAGATGCTCAAATCAGGCACAGAGTCACTCTCTCTTCCTGCTGCCTTTGGATCCAGATGTAGAACTCTCAGTTTCTTCTCTAGCTCCATGTCTGCCTGCATGCTGTCGTGCTTCCTGCCATGATGACAATGGACTATAACTCTGAACTGAAAGCCAACCTTAATTAAATATTTTCCTTTGTAAGAGTTTCCATGGTCATGGTGTCTCTTCACAGCAATGAAACCCTAACACAAGGTTCAATAATTGTCTTATACACCTTGATTTCTCAGAAATATGGTCAGGGCTCAGGACTCAGACATTTGTAGCCTCCGGCCTGTGCCTGTCAGAAGCTGCTGCGCTATTCTTAGGATGTTATATGTCCCTTAGGTATTAGAGGCTTGGTGCCTGGGGCAGCTTTGGGGAATGGGTTAAGGTTTTAAGAGGCCAAGAATGGTGAGAAAACTTCAGGGGGTGGGTGCATGCTGCTGCAGAGCATTCTAACACCCTGGTCTCTTACATTCTTTTGCTTTCTGGCTCTGAGATGAGTTTTTGGTCCGCCATGAACTTCTGACAAGAAATGCTGCCTTGTTTTGGGCTCTAAACAATGAGGCCAGTTGAACATGTGCAGAAGTGCATAACCATGAACCCAAATAAACTTTTTCTTTTTATAGTTAATTAATTGGTTCAACTATATAGCAAGGCAATAGCTGTAAGAGAATATAGGCAATTACTCTCAACAGTGGCAGGAGGAAGGTGGTTGAGCTATGAACCCTCCTTCCTTTTACTCTTGTGGCTTCCCCATTCAGATCCACTGTCTTTCTTACAACTTTTTGCTCATGGCGGTTTTTATTTCTTTAATAAAGATTTATTCATTTTATATAAGGACTGTTTTGCCTGCATGTGTATATGTGTATCATATGAATGCTTGGTGTCTTCAGAGGTTAGAAGATCTCCTAGAACTAGAGTTATAGATGGTTGTAAACACCACGTAGGTATGGGGTATCGACCCCAAATCCTCTCCAAGAACAGCAGGTGCTCTTAGGTACTGAGCCCCAGTACTCACAACTTTTACCATAAGCCCAGGCCCTTTGGCCATCTGGGAGATAAGACCTTAAAATGAATTCTGTGTTAACTTTCCCTTCCTCAACCAGCAGCAAAGCAATAGAAGATCATCAACTTTAAACTTCACAGATATGCTGGTAAACAGAAGTTAGAGCATCAATAAGATGCTGTAGAAGCTCTAAACTTGTTTTAAATTTTATTTTATGTGTGTGTGTTTCACTTGCATGTATGGCTATGCACCACATGTCTGCTTAGTGCCAGATCAGGGTGTCAGAGCCCCATGGAACCAGATTTACAGATAGTTGTGAGTCATGATGGGGATGTTGGGAATTGAATACGGCTCCTCAGTAAGAGCAATAGGTGTTCTTAACCACTAAACCACCTCTCTAGCCTCAATGTAGAAGCTTTTGAATGAGGAGTGGGTAGGATTCTTGTTAAAGGGATAAGCAGTTTTAGTGTAGCATCTTTGAGTTTTATTGAGACTGAATGATTAAGATTTCAAATAAAACCAGTAACAAAATAACATTGTAACAATTATTGGTGCTTAAAAATAATATGAGATGCCAAAATACTGAAATGAGTTATGGGAATAGCAAGATCTTGCAAGAGGACATGTTGGGAAGTGTGCACATTAGGCTTCCAGTCTCACCACTATGCCTCTCACTCTGAAATTCATTTTCCCTGTTTTAATTGTCTCCTTTAAAGAGTAGCTCCTGGCAGTGTGCCGGTGCCCCTAGATTTGCCTCCAGGGTGCACGCTCAGATTATGCTGAACCATGCTTCTGTCGGTCCAGCCCGGCTTTGAACTCACAGAGATCCGCCTGCCTCTGCCTCCCAAGTGCTGGGATTAAAGGCATGCACCACCACCGCCCGGCTGACAATGATGTTTTATATGAGGGACTTGAGCATCTGAGAATTTAGCTATCTACAAGGGATCCTGGAACCAGCCCCGTGAAGATACTGGCCCAATTATGACCACACTATCCTTTGAACTTTTTTTTATTGAGACAAAGATTTGAGTTCAGATGGTTTATTTGGGAAGCAGAACAAAGGAATCTGGGCTGTGAGGGGTGGGAGTGGGAGAGGCTCTGCTATAAGAATGTGCTCAGGATGTCACTGTTGTGAGTAAAGGGGACTGATGCTGGGAAGTTTACAGACTGTCCACTAACAGAAGAAACTTGTGTGTTATTTCACTGGTTCTCATTTCCCACTATGGGGCTAATATCTCATATATCTGGGCAATACCAAGTCAACTTTTCAGAACAGAATGTAGAAAAATGTTATTACTAGAGAGGAGAATGCTGGCAGAACAGGTGGACCTGGGTATACAAAGACTGAACCTTGTAGAAAATGGTACAGAATTTGTTTACAACCAACATGATCCTCCTGTGTACTTTAAATCATCAGTAGATTATTTAGTATGATGTGAGTTGAGTAACTCTAACAAATACCCAAGATAATCAGCTTAAAAAGAAAAACTGTTGTAGCTCACTGTTTTGTAGCTCATTACTGATTGATCCTGTTGCTTTGGACCCATGACAGTACATCATGGTGGAAGCATGTAGGAAGCACTCATCTCATGACTGGGCATAAATGAGAGGAAGTAGAAGGATCTGGGAGTCCTGCAAGCCCTTTTGAGGCAGATCCCAAAGAATCTCACACTTTTCACTAGCCTTACCCCTTTAACAATTTTAGCACATCCTAAGAGTACTGTAATACATGGGCCTTTGTGAGGCATTTAAGATCACAGCCGTAGCACTTATAAGACCTAATCTAAAGTGAGTACTGTGCAAACAGTTCTCTTTTTTTTGTTTTTTGTTTTTGTTTTTGGTAGAAACTGGCAAACAGTTCTTATTCTGTATTGTTAGAGAATAAGCAGTTGTTTTTAAAATACTGTTGATCTGTGGTTGAATTAATCCAAAGGTGCAGAAGCTATAAACGTTGAGTATTGAGTACTATTGAGTGTTTTGTAAATATACAATCTTGTATATTTACATATTTTTACCCATACTTATTTATGTATCTGGAAAAGGCTCCCTAAAACTATCAATAAACATTGTTACATCAAATTTCCTTAAAATTTCCTGATATCATGGTTTTTAACAACTGAGTAATATTCTATTATATAAATGTACCATATTTTCTTTAGCCATTCCTCAGCTGAGGAGCATCTTGGTTCTACTACAAAGCTTTAGCACTGGAATAAAAACATACACATTGAACAATGGGATTGAATCAAAGACCCAGACATAAATCCACACACATATGGACACTTGATTTTTGACAAAGAGGCCAAAATTATACAATGGAACATGTTCAGCAAATGGTGGCATAACTGGATGTCAGCACATAGAAGAATGTAAATAGATACCTATCTATCAACTTGCACAAAACTCAAGTCCAAGTGGATCAAAGACATCAACATAAATCTAGTCACACTGAACCCAATAGAAGACAAAGTGGGGAATAGAACACCAGTAGCACTGACACTATAATCAACAATTAATAAATGGGGCCTCATTAAACTGGAAAGTTTCTATAAGGCAAAACCCACTGTCAATGGGACAAAATGGCAGCCTACAGAATAGGAAAATATCTTCACCAACTCCAGTCTGACAGGGGGATGATCTTCAAAATATATAAAGAACTCAAGAAATCAGACATCAAAATTACAAATAATCCAATTAAAAAATAGGATACAGACCTAAACAGAATTTTCAACAGAAGAATCTCAAAATGCAGAGAAACACCTAAAAAATGTTTAGCATCCTTAGCCACCAGGGAAATCCAAATCAAAATGATTCTGAGATTCCATCTTGTACGTGTCAAAATGGCTAAGACAAAAAACACTAATGACATCTTATGCTGGAGAGGATGTGGAACAAGGGAAACACTCTTCCATTACTGGTTGGAATGCATACTTGTACAGCCACTTTGGAAATCAATATGGTAGTTTCTCAGAAAATTGGGAATCAATATACCTCAAGACCCAATGATACTACCCTTGAAGGATGATCAGTAATACCACAAGAACACTTGCTCAACTATGTTCATTGCAACTTTATTTGTAATAGCCAGAACTGGATACAACCTAAAGCACTTCCTTAAAGGGTGTGTCAGGATTGAGCAGAGGCAGCTTGATATGGGTGTGTGGGAGGGTTTATTCACTTTTCTCTTCCACACTGAATGTCTGAATGTCAGTGTCCTCCTTGGTCTCCAAACACTTCTTCAATCTGAGAATTGAATGGATTCTCCCTTCCCAGGACCTGAGGCCACTGGGTCTGTATCTTCTTCCAGACACGGTCTGCCAGCAGCAGTGAAGCCACCTGCAAGAGAAAGGGAGAAGGAGAGACTCAACAGTAAGGAACTGACCGGAAGATTGGGATGCAGCTCAGTTAGCTGAGTGCCTGACTAGCACACAGACGCTCAAGGTTTACTCCAAGTGCCACCTAACAGAGCACATGACTAATCCCACCACTCAAGAGCTAGAAGCAGGAGTATCAGCAGCTCAAGGTCATCCTTGGGTTACATAGTGTTTGAGGCCAGCCCAGTACACACGAGACCTTGTGAAACAACGATGAAACTGACCATCAAGATTCAGTACATTCCAATTTAAACCTTCTATCACTATCAGTATTATCTGAGAGAAACAATTTAAAAGAGGAAGAATTTCTTTTGCCCATGGCCCGTAGACACATCATGAAGCAAGAGGATGGTAGAGGGAAGCTGTTCACCTTATGGCAGCCAGGAAGCAAAAAGGAGACAGGTAGGGGCCACTGACAAGTTGTTCCTTAAAAGCCCACTCTCAGGGACTCCTTTGCTTCAGCCAGGTTCTGTGTACTGAAGTTCACTTCATCTCTCACAATGGCACCATTAGCTGGGGAACCTAAAATTTAACACTTGAGTCTGGGGTACATTTCAAGTTCGAAACTCAGCATTGTCTATGGTGGGAAGATCCGAAGACTGTGTCTGAATTCCCTTCTTCCATCACTGTGTAATAAATCTCTTCCCTTGGGATGGGTGGGGCCTATCACTTTGTCCAACTTGATATAAGATGATAGGCAGCAGTCACTTCAGGGACTGTATCTTCTTCTATAGAACTTGGTCTTGCTGGCCTGATGACATAAGAAGCTGTGAGCTGATACTGAAAGACCCCAGCCCAGCCTACACGGAGGCAGCTGAGGCTTATGGAAAATTCCGTTTCCCCCACAGCTCAGCTGAATAGTCATTTTTTATCAGAAGGGAGCTCAGCTCAAGGTCTTCATGGCTGAATAGTCACTACTATCAGAAGGGAACTCTGTCCAGGCAGGGACACAGGTGTCTACTGTCTGCATAGCCACACAGAAACCTATTGTTCCTCAGATAGGGCCAAGGCCGAGACTTGAGTTCCAAGCAAAACCTCAATTGCCCTCGATTCTGAGCCCCAGCCTCATTTAAATTGCCCAATCAGGGACCTGTAACTAGGCTTCTCGCTTCTGTACTGCGCTTTTTGCTATAAAAGAACCCCTGAGTCCCCAGCTCGGGGCGCTCAGCCCCCCCAAGACTGAGACGCCCGGGTACCCGTATGTAAATAAAGCCTCTTGCTGTTGCATCCAAGCTCGTGGTCTCGTTGTTCCTTGGGTTCGGGTCTCCCTCCCGTGAAAGTCCCCCGCTTGGGGTCTTTCAATACTAGCCTCCAGCTAAGGTTCAGCAAAGAAGCTGGGTCCTCAGTCCAATGCTGAATCTGCCAACCCAGGTGAGTGTGATGCTCTGTTCCCCAGTTGTATCTCTGGATGACCCCAGAGCCTGAGTAGCATATCTTGATTGTAGTTTTGTGACATCTTAAGGACAGGACCAAATTAAGCCATGATCATCAAAAACTGCAAAGTAACAGATGTGTATCATTTTAAGTTCCTGGTTTGTGATTCAGAAATATAGAACAATTATATGTTCTCAAAAACCCACACTGCTGCATTCCAGTAGACAGCTAGCAACTATTCCTTCTGGTGGCCTAAGGCCTGGGTGATGATGAATAGAGGAATTCTCCCCTGGAGGAACTCAGGGCCTCATCCAGAAGTCAAGTATGTGGGAATGATCTCACACCTGGAGGGCTGTGAGGGAGAGCTGCAAACCAGAAGGGGAGGAAATATCAACTCTGTCTGTAAAGGAAAGGGCAGGCCCTCTGGGGAGACACCGAACTTTCAAGGGTAGGTTCAGGATGTTTTTTGGGGAAGGTGTGCACATGCAGAGGCCATGGTGTATACATATGGCATGTAGCACATGGGAAAAAAATGGTGTGGCCAGGGAACTCCAGGCATCCACGAGATTAGAGTGGACAGTAGATTGCTAGGGCCTGCATCCTGAATGGACATGAAATGGAATGTGGATTGCTTGGCTGCAACAAGCGACGGCTTGTGTTGGGCACAGCAGACTGAGCACTGGCTCTTCTGACAAATTCTTTCTTGGCTTCTGTAGCTTTATGCTAGATTTGATTTGTCTTCAGAGGTAGCAGGATCTAGTCTTGGTTGTTCAGTCCTCTGGCCATCTCCATGTGCCTTGGATGATGAGGTTTTTTTTTTTTTTCTCAGCAAATGACACATTTAGCACATAGACCTGGCCAATCCTCAGGGCCAAATGGCTATATCTCAACAGTAATTTTTAAAGCTGAATTAAGAGAAATTTGATTACTGAGGGCCTGAGAGGGGAAGGCATTGTGGACTAGGAGGGACAGTGTCTTCAAGGGCAGTTCACCATACCAGTTGACAGTTCTGTGTGACACTGTGTTGCACCCTTCCTCCATGTGGGTCTGTTGACTGCTTGTTACTAGAAGCTTTTAGCAACATGCAAGTTCCTGTTTATTGTCTAAATGCAAATTCCTGTTTTTGACCCACCCCTTTGCTGGAGGGCCCAGGGAACATAGGCTTCTGACCTTGGTATTTTTCCACCATACCTGACTTTGGTATATAAAGCTCTACCCTTGTAATAATAAATGCCATTCTCCTTGTAAGAATGAGCCGCTATCTTTGTCTTTATTTTCATCCTTAGCCCCTAGACTTGGATCATTGTGAAGTATGGTAGCACTGTAGCTGCCAACATACCGGCAGCTCACTACAACACTGGGTAACTTTCTGGAACTCTGTGGGCCAATTGCACAATAAGTAGGACAGAGTCAATGATCAAAAGCTCTTTCTGGGTCTAAACTGTATATAATATTTTAGTGATTGTTAGAGAAAACCAGAACAGACTGAGTCATTGCATTAATCAACCCCAGAATTTTTATGTATTCCAAAGCCTTCTGAAGTAGACCTGAAGAAAATTCTATCAAATTAAAATATTCCCTTCAGGTACTGAGGATCAAACTCAGTACCATCTTGTGCATGCCAAACAAACACTGTATCATGCATCCACCTGAAGTCTTGCATTTTAGTTAAGCATGTGATCATTTTGTTTCCTATTGACACTTCAGTAAGCACGCATGCCCATTCCCATACATGCATGTCATTATACTTCACCTATTCATCACACCAGTCTATCCCTTTCTTCCTCCTCTTTGTCCTTTCTCCCTGAACAGATGCCCTTCTGTTTCATCACACACACACACACACACACACACACACACACACACACACACGAATGTACACAGCACTTAAATCTGGGTTCTGCATATGAGTGAGGACACATGGTGCTTGTCTCTTTTTTCCTTTTCATACTTTCTTTTGTTCTCCTCCCACCCCAATTAGGTTCTATGCTCTCACCTGTAGCTCCCTTGCTATTTTCAACACATACATACATATTTAAATCTAAATTATAACTTTGAGAAAAATGTGATATTTCTCTCTATGTCTATCACACATGTATCCCTTAATGTGATGGTCTCTAGTCACACCCACTTTTCTGCAGATGATGTGATTTCATTCCTCCTTATAGTTGAACAAAACTCTGTTGAACACAACATAACATTTACTTCATCTGCTCTAGTGTGGCATCAAGACTAGATGGCCATTGTGAACTGTGTGGCAGGAAGCATGAGTGTGCAAGTGTCTCTGTAGTGTGCTGACTGAGAATCCTTCTGGTGGACTCCCAGGATTGTACAGCTGGAGCACAGGGTAGTTTCAGTTCTGTGAAGAGCCTCCACATTCATTTCCTCAGAGTCTACACTAGTTTGTGTTCCCATAACTATGTGATCTTGATAATATCCATACACCATACTGCATAAACCATGTAAATACACCGTATGCACACAGCACACACATCATCTGTCCATATACCACACATTCATTGACATACCACACACATTCTTATTTGTACTTAAAAGCAGAAGCAAGGCTCTGGATGACCATCAGGCTGGGGAGTGGGTGTGGGGGCTATCTCTCACACAAGGCACAGCCAGCCTGTCTTTGAGGACAGAGGCCTGGCCCTCTGGCTACTTTCCCTGACATTCTTCAATAAAGGATGCTGCTTCCAGGTCTGTGGAAGGCTTCTGACCTGCTTTTTAAACTTTCAACTTGTCAAGTTTAAGTTGTCTTTTTAATGATTATGTGTTAACGAGGCCTTTGTGGGCATTTATTTCCCTCATATTAGTAAGGGAAGAGGTAGAGGTGAAGGCACGAAAAGGAAATGAATGAGCTCAGATTTGAGTTTGTGGTGACTGGTTTAAAAGCAATTAATTGGCTGTCACTCTAACAGAGATTAATGTTTTTATGAGTGTATACTGCTGAAATACTGTGTTTACAATGAGCTTGGCATGCCAATATGCTAGAAACTTGGGAGGAAATGGTCTACTATACTCATTCATCCATTCATCATTCATTTGATTCTCTTCACTGAATGCTCTCTGCAGGCTTCTTCTCTACCAATTGTCTGATGCCACTCCCATGATGCACCACAAAGCGAGGACACAGTTGTCTTTTACTCCGTTGCCAAGCCAGTTGCATCTTAAGCACAGTGTGAGTCTTTTTATTGTCTCTGTTCATAGTTCAAAATGCTAAGCCAGTATCTAGACATTTCAGGACTGAAAATTTACCAAACAGAAAAACTGAATACAGATTATCTGTAATTAGAATGGAGGCATCCTTTCCTAACACTGGGTATAGGTCATTTTAAATCTCTCTCTCTCTCTCTCTCTCTCTCTCTCTCTCTCTCTCTCTCTCTCTCTCTCTCACACACACACACACACATATATATATATATATATACACACACACACACTGGTGTATTCATCTATGCATATAGTATTTTAAAAAATACATTTTTCCTAAAGTGCAATGCATAACCTACAAAATTATACAATCCTGTCTTTACCTAATGCACTGTACTCCACCAGGATACATTTATTTTCAGATGGAAA